TTTTTTGGTGAGACAGAGTCTCACTGTGTTGCCCGGGCTAGAGTGCCGTGGCGTCAGCCTAGCTCACAGCAACCTCATACTCCTGGGCTCAAGCGATCCTCCTGCCTCAGCCCCCCGAGTAGCTGAGGCTACAGGTATGCGCCACCATGCCCGGCTCATTTTTTCTATATATTTTTAGTTGTCCAATTAATTTCTTTCTAATTTTAATAGAGACGGGGTCTCGCTCTTGCTCAGGCTGGTTTCGAACTCCTGAGCTTAAACAATCCGCCGGCCTCAGCCTCCCAGAGAGCTAGGATTACAGGCGTGAGCCCCTGCGCCCGGCTTCTCCATGGTTTTTGACAGTACATGAACTCCAAGCCTTGTTACAAAAAAAGTCTGTCCTCTCAGGCGGAACTGCTGAATTCTTTGGTTCTTGAGGCCTCCTTAAGTGCACAGCCTCTGCCCTGCTGCTCTGGAATTGGGTGCTGGGGACTGTAATCTCCTTCTCTGTGTAAGAGATACATTTGCTGTATGACAGGGCATTGGGAGGAGGAAGAGGTAGGTAGCTTCTTGTTTTCTCTGTTTGTCTCTCCTAATTTGGAACTTCTGCTGTACCATCTAGCTTGGGCAGCAATGCCAGGGCCCCAGGATTCTCAGTTTGTTGTGAAAGTGGGAATCTATGCATGGGAGCCACCAGGGCTGAGTACGATGAGAAACACTACCAGCCTGCCCTCCTATGGTAAAACTGTAGTGCTAGACTGGGAGCTGGGGTCCAGGGAGCTCTCATCTTCTTTGCCACACCTACCCAGAGTGGCCCTTCTATCACAGGGAATATTGGGGGTACAGGGATGATGGGGGCAGGTTGTGGCTCAAATTTCACAGGCTCTTGCTGTTATTATTGAGATTTAGTAGATTTTCTTGGATATGTTTTTCTATTTGCTGTATGTCCTTGGGACAAATCCTGAGACTTTACCTGGTGCTTTTTCACCTGTGAAATGATTACTTCTCTGGGGAGAGGATGTCTCGTTCTGGAAGCCCCCCTTCCCACCTTTTTAAATAAATATATATCTGGTATAATTTTAAGTTTTATTAAAATGGTATTGTTTCAATGTGCTCTATCCTTTTTTTTTTTTTTAATCCTCTTGATCATTGGTAGGAAAAAAAAAGTATGCTAAATTCTTCCATTGTAATGTATAACTTTCTCTTGTGTTTCCAACAGTTAGAGATGCTTTTATACAATATGTCTAGATCGTTGTTTTTTGTTTGGGAAAAAAGGTCTCGCTCTGTTGCCCGGGCTACTAGAGTACAGTGGTGTGATCATAGCTCACTGCAACCTCAAACTCCTGGGCTCAGGGGATTTTCTTGCTTCATCCTCCTGACTAGCTGGGACTATAGTGCATGCTACCGTGACTGGCTAATTTTTCTATTTTATTGTAGAAACAGGGTCTCACTCTTGCTCAGGCTGGTCTTGAACGCCTGGCCTCAAGCATTCCTCCCTCCTTGGCCTCCCAAACTGCTAGTATTACAGGCATGAGCCACTGCGCCTGGCCTAGATTGGTTTTGTTGTAATTTGGGATTTTACTGTTTACAGGTATAAAATGGTTTTTATAATTCTGTTCATTGTGAATCCGTGTTTTTCAACAAAGAAATTAAAATCATTTACTCAATTAGATACTAGTTTTTTTTCCAGAACGTGTCCTTGTAAGTATTGTTGTATGGTGTTATTTGGTGCTACAGTACAGAGTGAATAAAACCATGTGATCCTATTGAAGTTGGCTAGTTTATTATACCTTATTACTGTTTGGAAATGGGTTTCTTTTTTGACATGTATCACCTGATTACATGTAGTCAGACATTGCTTTCTGTATACTCTACTTCCAGTCAGCTAATTTTATTCATTATACTCTGATACTCATAGATTACTGTTTATGTAATTCATTCTTTCATCACATGAGCAGCTGGTGATTTGTAGCTGTGAAAAGTTGGTACTGTTAGTTATTTTTACATGTTAAGTGGAAGAAATTAATCACAGTTTTGAGGGGTGTCCATTGGCCGTATATACCTCTTTGGGCATTTCTTACCTACTCGAAGTGTCTTCCTCCCCAGCCCAAAGGTGTCAGGTTGGTGGGGCTGAATGACAGCACACAAATGATTCCTCATGGATAGCTGGAATAACCCTACACCTTGCTTACTCACATAGCATTGTCCTTTGTCTCTTATGTCCCAACTCCTTGTATCAAACCCTCTTAGATACAGTTATTTCCAGAAGAGAGGAAAGATAAATCTTTTTTATACCTTTGTTACAGGAATTGGTTGAAATTGATTAGATTTGAAGAAAAAGATGTGGACTCTGTCTTTTGTGCCGGGAAGAGTCTTCCTGTTTTGTAGGGTTTTGAGATAATGCCTTTGTGAATTTTTCACTAGGATTATTTGCATGTTGTTGTTTATGTTTTCTCGTTTGTATTGTTTGCAAAAATTAGGTTATTGAAAAAAAAAGAGTTCATGTTTATAAGTAGGTTACACAGCAAATCTAATCTTCATTTCTGAACGTAATTATAAAGTTCAGATGCATGTTAAGCACTTGTATTATTTTTGTTTCTGTTTTTCTACCCCAAGACTTGCTACATTTGCGATGAACAAGGAAGAGAAAGCAAAGCAGCCACTGGTGCATGCATGACATGTAATAAACATGGATGTCGACAGGCTTTCCATGTAACATGGTAAGTATGTTTCCACTGTTATACAGAACTAAAATTGGCAAATACCTTGTATAACAATTATAGTTAAAGACTTAGGTACTCAAACATTAATTATAGCAAATTTTATTGGGCTAGTTTTTATGTGCACATTTACTTTTTGGTAATAAAGATAATTCTAATAACTGAGTGTATTTACTAGAGCGAATTTGTAATAAGTGGACCCTGGTTCTAATGTGTTACTCTGTGAGTTTCAGTTTCATCTTATTTAAAATATTGTCATTGATTACTTACCTTTGATTTGTTATTAGGATTAAATGAACTCATATAGGTAAACTGTTAGTGCAGTGTCTGAAATATTAGTAAGGGTTCAGTCAATGATAGTGCTTCTTTACTTTGTGTGTCTCAAGGGAAAAATATATAATGCAACCACCGTAAGTCTCAATGTTGCAGTGACTACTCAAAAATTCACTTACAGGCCGGGCGCAGTGGCTCACGCCTGTAATCCTAGCACTCTGGGAGGCCGAGGTGGGCGGATTGTTTGAGCTCAGGAGTTCGAGACCAGCCTTGAGCAAGAACGAGACCCCGTCTCTACTAAAAATAGAAAGAAATTAATCAGACAACTAAAAATATATAGAAAAAACTAGCTGGGCATGGTGGCGCATGCCTGTAATCCCAGCTACTTGGGAGGCTGAGGCAGGAGGATCGCTTGAGCCCATGAGTTTGAGGTTGCTGTGAGCTAGGCTGACACCACGGCACTCACTCTAGCCTGGGCAACAAAAACGAGACTCTGTCTCAAAAAAAAAAAAAAAAAAATTACAATGTTTTTTCAGTGTAAAATTTCGAGGGCAAAAATTATTCAGAACAAGATAGTCTGCATAATAGATAACAGTTACAAATAAAAGTTTGAGAATAATCCACACAGTTATTAATTTTAAGAATCGGTCTACTCAGACCTGTAATCCTAGCACTGTAAGAGGCTGAAGCAGGAGGATCGCTTGAGGCCAGGAGTTTGAGGTCGAAGTGAGGTGTTGTCACACCACTTCACTTTAGCTTGGGCAACAGACCAAGACCCTGTCTCCAAAAAAAAAAGGGAAAGAAAAAAGAATTTGTCTATACTTAGCTGCCATTTTAGGCACATGCTCATTTCCTGAGCTTTTAGTGTCTGAATATATAAAGTCCATTTTATGCTACTATTGGAGAATGGAAAAAGATTTTTGACTTTCATAAATTCTCTTAATTACTATACCTAATTTTCCAAAGATGAAACTGCCTTTTTGGGTATGAGATCTATAGACTAATAACATAATTTTCAAATCTATGAAAGGTCAAGCACACAAGATGATGATTATAAACTTTGGCATTTTGTATTTTTAGCGCACTGAGTGCCACACTAGAAAAAAAACTTTTTTCCTTGGGGCCACACTGTGTTTTATTACGAAAATAGAATAAAAGCTGCAAAAACAAGATGATCCTTTCTAATTTAATGAAAAATTTGTTATTTATTTATCGTCTTCTGTGTGTGAGTTATTTGCAACTTGAAAAATAGTTCACACAGCTCTGAAGGTAGAGACATGTGAGTTACACACACTTCACAAGGCTCCGGGCTCAGAACTTAGCCTGAGTTAATAAATACAACTCATGTGGCAGCTAATGTGTTAAAAAATGTGAATATGATAACTTTAGGTTTCAATTCCATTTCTTTCATTGTTTTTGACTGAAAAGCACAACTTATGTTTATCTTGACTATTGTGCTATGATTTTAAAGCATTTAGAGTTGCAAAATTCATCCTAGGTGAATGAATTTTTCCTTGTTAAGATTATGTAATCTGCATCCGTAAGCTCAATACCATCACATGTCATTTCAGCCCTTCAGAGACATGGCCTTTCCATTTGTACTTGTGACACAGATTGAAAAAGTAAAGTTAACGAAGTGTTAATAATGGGCAGGAAAGAATTTCTCTTAAAGGAGCTTAATGTCTATTTGGTGACATAAATCATGCATCCATCTTCATCCTTGGTAGAGATATGTGAAGAGTTTATTTTAAGCCACAAATATGACTTTAAAAAATGATCAGTTGTAGGTTAGGGTGAAATGTACTTGGTCACAGCTAGAACAGAGCTTTTTATTTTCCCGTTTTTTCTTAGGAAATGTATTTTTTTACAAGCCATTCATACTGGCAAGTAAATTTTGTTTAGATATACAGGTACTGTGCTTTGAGTTTTGTTGTTATACTTGGCTTTTATTTTCAGTGCTCAGTTTGCTGGACTACTTTGTGAAGAAGAAGGTAATGGCGCAGATAACGTCCAATACTGTGGCTACTGTAAATACCATTTTAGTAAGCTGGTAAGAATTTGTCTTGAATTTACTACTAAAATGATGATTAGTTTTGACAATAGAGTGACACTGTTATATAAAAAAGGTCACATAAGAATTCCTTTCCCCTAGGTTTTTGCTTGAGATGAAGTTTTTGAGCTTGTTTTTTATTGGAATTGAAAAGGACCTAGTAAATTTTGCCTTACAGGGGTTCATTTGTAAAGGTGAATATTCTAAAATATTCTCATTTAGAATGTGTGTTAATAGTTGATAGTAAACGTTGGTATATGTTTAGTGGGAAAAGTTAATTTGTAAAGAACCGTTTATATTTTAACATTATTTTCACTTTGTGATTATCACTTGTTACTCATCTTTCTGCTTTATAACTATTGCACATTTTATTTATTTTATTTTTATTTTATTTTTTTTTTACTGGGAAGTAGTAAAGCTCTGAAATAAGGCTATTTTATAACTAAAAGACCTTCAGAAAAATATATTTAAGTACAGCTTTGGGAATTTTTTAGATTTGGTAAATCTTTGCTGTCACACAGCAGCATGGATTATTGAGTTAGTAACATTTGATCGACTTACATATTTGTGCCCGTGTTCCTTTGAAGAATCAATATTTCCTTAATGTCCCAAGTGCCTGTTTCTCATACATATTCATACACTGAAAGTTTAAGGCTTCTTTGTCTTTTATTATCTAATTTTTTAATTAGTACCTTTCCCTTGTGAATGGGGCTATTTCTTTCTTTCTTTTTAAAATAAATAGTATTATGAGGGGCCCCTGTCTTATGCAATGAGCAGCTCATACCTCCAGTATTCTGGTTTATGCATATGAAATACTTAAGAGTGTATCTACCTCATTTGATGCTTACAGCTTTGATTTATTTTAATGGCTAACACAGAATATCGAACTGTTTAGGAGAAATTTTGAGATTGTAAAATTGAACATTTTCTTCCTAGACATACAAAGTATACTGGAATCTTCATTTTCTAAGCGAAAGATGATATAGATAAAATATAAAGATAATGAAATGGATTTTTGAAGTTTGTACAAATAGAAATTTCTCATTGTTAATTATTGACATGATGTCATCCCATTTATGAGTTGGAGAAACAAAGCCTATTTAATAATTTATTAAGATTGTATAAATTACATTTGCATGGAATTTGAACATCTTTTATAGTTATTTTATCTAGTTTAAACCAATTAGTTATAGTACCACCAACTTTTAAACACCCTGAATAACTATCACTTTCATACTTAGTTATGCAATGGTATAAGTATTTTGAAATAGAAATGTGTAATGTTTTTAGTAATGCTTTGAAAAAATGCATGGGTCTAACACTGACATTTTCTTTAATTTTTTTCTTAATGAACTGCTGCAGAGATAAGTTTTTAGAAAACTGTATGCCTTAATATAATCTTAAATTATAAGATTAAAAGAGCTCTTGCTTTCCCTAGCGGCAAAAAGTAACTCTTCAAATATTTGCTTTTCTTTTCTTCTAGTCTTGGCATCCTTCTTTTATTAATATGGCATTTCTCTTTTGGTTTAAACATTTTTTTTTGAAGCAGACATTGAAAATATATAGTAGCCTATCTGAAAATAGATAATCTATTTTCAGACATTTTAATATACAAAAATATGGCATTAATGTTAAATTTAGGGTTAGATTTCCCTTCATAATGCAATGGATAACATATGGCTGGTGTCTAAACTGGATTCTATAGATTGAAATAGTGAGACTCTTAAAAATTTTCAGTAGACATTTAAAAATACTTCACACTTGAGTTGGTTTAAGCCTAACAAAAAGATTCTTTTAAAAAATTTTATATACATATACATGTATGTATATATATTTTCTTTTTTAGAAAAAGAGCAAACGGGGATCTAATAGGTCATATGATCAAAGTTTAAGTGATTCTTCCTCTCACTCTCAGGATAAACATCATGAGAAAGAGAAAAAAGTAAGTGGATTTGTTGTTGCTAAATATGTAGCACATCTACTTAATAGAATTTTTTTTTCCTTTTTAGATAAAATTAAGTTCTTGATAGCTAAATGGAGACATTGAAATACAGAAAACTTTTGACTAATAGAGTATTATTAAGTCAAAGAGTAGGTTTAAAATAATGCCATATTTGTGAATATGGTTTTACCCATTGCAAGTGAAAATTTAAAATATAACTTGATTGAAAGCATGAGAGATATTTCTTGCATGTATTATTGTGGTCATCTTGTGAAATCCTTAGGTGATTTCAGAAATAATAGTTTGTTGCTATATATCATTAACTGATAACTTCACTAGTAAGTAATTATCTCATCAGCTTTTCTCCTTTATGATAGAACAATTTTGGAGTTCTATATATATTAATACTTGGCTGGTTTTTCTTTTTCAGTGGTGCTCATGGTTTATTATTTCTTTCTAATGGCCAAATGTCATACCATTTGTTTGAGAACTTTTTGTCTTTTAATTAAAACACTAAAAGCTTGCCTAAATGCTAATCTATCTTCTTCTGACTTGCCTGTTTTCTGCTTACATTTTGACTTACTTTAAAAGAAGTAATTAATTTTTAATAAACTAAAAGTCAATCTGTAGAATCATTCACCCTTAACTTGTAATTTTTAACAAACATACTGCCAGTGTAGTAAAAGGAACCTACTATCAATTATTTTTGAGGAAATGAGGATACAAAGGACATCTTTAAATGGAAACGAATATTATGCTTATACAGTTGTTATAAACTATTTTGAAAAAATTTCTGCAGATTGCATTTAAAAATTAGATTTCATGACATTTTCACATTTGTAAATATGATTTGGGAAATGATAATGTGTAGTTATTAGAAAATATTTTGCTTTAAATTTATGTTTGTGCCTTTATTCAAGATAAACATTTAAAAAAAGTATTTAGTTCTGAGCTTAAATTTTCTATTATGAGTGAGATAATAACTATAACTTTACACTCAACTTTAGGGCAGTCGTTAGGTTTATATATATTTTTAGGTTTTAGGGAGAAAGTATACATACCTATCTTGATTTCTTTATGAGATGGTTTTGTGATAAGTGATAATAATAGGGGTCTATCTTTTATTGTGTAGATTGCTGATTTAAAAAATAGCAGGGTTGGTTTAATTAGCAACCCTTCTTATTTTAATAAGAAGCACCACAAAATTTTATTTAAGCTTAAACCATGAATTAAGGATTTTTGCTTTGGCTTACTATAAATTGTGAAGAGGGAGGTCTCACCATCAGTGGTCTTCTGTTCTGCCATTTCATTAACATTATCTTGTTTAAAGAAGTATTCACTATGTGATTATATTTATTTTAATATATGTCCTGTCATATTATTTGAAGGACATTATTAAATGCATTAAATGTTGACTAAATATATGTTGATGACTACATTTATTATTTTTTTTTTTGGAATGAATTAGATTTTGTTTTATTAGTGTTTTGTGGTTGAGTGCTGATTAAAAATATTGTATTAGCTAAAGTTGTTAAGCTTTAAATTTTAGAATATTATATGTAAATACTATTTGCATTTTACTTTTAACATATTTAAGTTTAACATAACTTGTTTTTTGTTGTCACACTTACATTTTATTTTTAATAACTGAGTTTATTGATCAGCTATAAAGTAAACATACTATACATGAGGTAAACATACTACAAATTTGTTAGACTTGTTTACCTGCCTTGGGAATATTTGGGAAGGGACTTTTAAAATACGGCATGATGTTAAGTGATAATACAGTTGAAAACATTAAGTATTGCAGACTATCTTTCTCTCCCTCCTTCCTTACCTCTTTTCAGATTTTTATATTCTGTGGGGTTGTCTTGAAAATATGCTCAGCATGTTTATTAAATGTTGCATTGGAAAGTAACAGTCTTAATTCAGCCAGACATTAGTATTATGTTATTAAGTATGAAATGTCCGATTCCCTTAAGTACTAAGTTTGACAGTTGGTATCTCTGACATTTCACTTTGACACTTCTTGTGTTATGTTTATTGTGAAGGTACATCTTCCAGTCTTTCAAATGCATGTTTTGGCTTGTGATTATCTTTCAAATTATTTTTTAGAGCAATGTTGTGAAATCATGGATAAGTCAAAAATTCATGTTATTTTCGAATATGAGTTTCATCGTGGATCCAATGCAGCGCAGACAGCTCGAAATACCAGTGAAATGTTTGGGAAGGATGTGGCTAATGAATGCACAGTACATTGATGGTTTAATAAGTTCAATTCTGACGATATTAATCTTGAAAATGAGTCATGTGGGTGACCTGAGACGAAGGTGGATAATGATGAGCTGAAAGCTATAGTGGAAGTGAATCCATCTTAACCTATGGGTGAATTAGCAACAAGGTTTGAGGTTACTATTCCAACAACATTGGACCATTTGAAACAAACCGGCAAGGTAAAGAAGCTGTGTAGATGGGTACTGTGTGAATTAAACGAGCGTTAGAAAAGAAATCATCTCAAAGCTTGCTTTTTCTTTGCCGTTGTGACATAAAGGCAAACCATTTCTACACCATATTGTTACATATGATAAAAAATGGATTCTTTTTGACAATCACAAGCATTTGACATAATGGTTGGATAAAGAGGAAGTGTCGAAGCACAGTCCAAAACTGAATATTCATCAAGAAAAGCTAATAGTGTCTGTTTGGTAGTCCAGTGCTGGTATTATCCACTACGGCTTCATGAAACCTGGTCAGTCAATTACAGCAGATGTCTACTGCAACCATTTGGCAAAATGCTTAGGATGCTTGCAATTAAGTAGCCGAGATTGGTCAGCAGACAGGCCAATCTTCTTGCAAGACAATGTTGGACTGGACCACATGTTGCTTAAACTACGGAAGGTGGACTTGGAAACTCTCTGTCATCCACCATATTCACCAGACCTTGCACCAGCTGACTACCACTTCTTCCAGGCTTTGGACCACTTCTGGCAAAGAAAAATACTCAATTCTCAACAAGACGTCGAAAATCCTTTCGCAATTTCATCACCACTCTCTCCCTCTCGGTGTGTTTGCTGCTGGCATAAACAGGCTACTGTTAAGATGGCAAAACTGTGTCAGTAGTTTAGGTGCATACTTTGATTAATTGTACTGCTTGTTTGAGATATAATAAAGTAAACTTTTGATTTGAAATCGGACATTTCATATTTAATGACCGAGTATTTAAAAATACAGACAGATTCCCACTTGTGATGGTTCAACTTAAGATTTTTTGACTTTACAGTGGTGCAAAAGCGATACACATTCATTGTGCTCCTCAGCTTACCACAGAGCCGTGTCAGGAGAAACTCATTATAAGTTGAAAGTATTTTAAACTGAAAGTACGTTTTTCAGCTTATGATATTTTCAACTTATTATGGGTTTATTGGGAAGTAGCCCCCTTGTAAGTTGAGTAGCTGCATTGTAAGTTGTAAGTTAAGAGCTAAATTTTGGTAATGCTGTTCATAAAATACAGTTTGGACCACTCTGTCTCAGAATTCCTTTATCTGCCTTGATTTTGGCATGTATTTTTCTTTGTATATTTAAAATATTAAAAATACCATTGTAAGTGATATTGACTAATTGTATTTAATAGTAAATATTGTACTATCCATATTACTTAAGAATGAAGTAATAATTTTTAACTTACAGCTTTTATATAGTTACAAGAAAATTTAGAAAAATACATAGCCTTTGCTTTACAGAGAATTTCTGTGTGACTCAAGCTACATTAACAATGATTACGTATTAATTATACAGTGGAAGCAAGGAGAGAAGAAAAGTGCATGGTGTGAAATATGAATAACTATCCTTTGAATAAAGGATAGTTTCTACAAAAATGGAAAATTTGGCATGTATTTTAAAAGGAACCAAAGTACATATTTGAAATTAATTAAAGCTTTGTTTATCAGGGTTTAATTCAATCACAAATAGTTTAGATTGTAAATTATTGTTTAAGAAGAATGTCTTCTAACGCTGTTAGTTAATGTTCATTACTGAAAGGAAAACAAACTTTTTCTTTACTCATACTTTTAACAACAAATGTGTGGGTTTCTTTTCCTATCAAGTGATTCTCCAATTCTCTGTTTCCAACAGCTGGGTGTCCTACAATTCAATTTTGACACTACCCAGAGTTAGTGCAGATCCCACAGATTAGGACTGAGTCTCAAAAGACTGTCCCCACTTCAGAGGCCAGTTGCAAGTCTCAGATTGTCACCTGTACTTCTGACCAACCATCTATAAGTTGGGGTTCCCAGAACCTTCTCCTTAGATTACATAACTTACTAAAACAGGTCACAGAATTCTGGAATACTTTATTTGCTATTACTGGTATATTATAAAGGATAAAACTCAGGAACAGCCCAAAGGAAGAGACACATGAGATAAGTTATTATGGGGGAGGGATGTAGAGCTTCCATGTCCTCTCTGGGTGCACTATCCTTCCAACACCTTAGTGTGTTCATCAACCTGGAAGCTCTCAGAACTTCATTGTTTAGGTTTTTATTAATAATAGAGGTCCCATTGCATAGGCTAGATTGATTAAATCATTGGCCATTGGTGATTGAGCTCAATTTCCAGCCCCTTTCCCCTCCAGCTCTAGGGGTTAAAGTTGTAACCTTCTAATCACATGACTGGTTCCTCTGGTGACCAGTCCTCATCCTCCGAGAGTCACCGCATTAGCATAAATTCAGATATGCTGATAATATGTTATTATGAATAACAAAGGTGTTCTTCTCACCCTCATCACTCAGGGAATTCCAAGAGTTTTAAAAGCTCTGTTCCAGAAACTGGAATGGGAGAAGCTGCCTCAAATCCATCTCTGGGACTAAGGGAGATCAAGGGCTTTTAAAGGAGAGGCCATGTGTCTTTGGCCAGTTTGTGGTGTAACTAACAAGGGGCTACATGCAATGGGGGCAGGTATTTTTGCAATCTTCAAGTTTGGAATTATTGCAAAATCAAAAGTT